CGTAGCAGTGGCCAGCTCGTCCTCGAGCCGCTTGGCAGTATCGCGGGCGTGCTCATAGGCAGGCACGATTTCCTCGAGCTTGGCCATGACGCGCATCAGCTCGCGCTTGGCCTCGACCGCCTCCTCGGATGCGCGGTCCAGCTCCTGAGCCTTGAGCGCCAGGTCGCTGTCCAGGGAAATGTAGGCTTCGCGCAGATCCACGTGGTCCTTCTTGATCGCCTCCAGCTCGCGCGTGGTGTCCTCCAGCTCGCCCTGGTACTTGGCGCGCAGCTCATCCATGACCCGGTCGTGGTCGTCGATGTCCCCGCGGTGCCGCTCCGACACGTTGTCCAGCTCGTGCTGCAGCCCGCGACGGATCTGCTCCAGCTCGGCTATGGTCAGGGCGCTTTCGTCAATGCGCGCCTGCAGAGCCAATGCGTCGGCTTCCATTTCCCGCACGCGGTCCTCGGCGGCATTGCGGGCACGCAGCGACTCGTCCAGCGACTCGCGCAGCTCGCGGGTCTCGGCGCGGGCTCCGCCAGCGACCTTGTCGGCGTAGCGCTTGTGGTCCTGGGCCTCCTGCACAGTCGACTCGTAGCTGGCCAGGCGCTCGCGCATCTCCTCGAGCCGCTGGCTCAGCTCGTTGCTCAGCTCCTCGTTGTTGCCGCGCAGGGAGCGCTCGGACACAAGCTGCTCTTTCAGGCTGGCCAGCGATTCAACGGCCTCGTTGCGCTCGCGCTCGGCGGTCAGCAGCTGGGCGTGCTGGGCGGCCATTTCGTCCTGGATGGCGCCGAAGCTGCGGTCCAGGTCCACCAGCTCGCTCTGCTTGTCCTCAAAGTCCTGCTGCGCAGTGCGCAGGGCTGCCGAGAGCGCCAGACGCGACTGCTCGAGCTCCTGGATCTGCTGGTGGGCAGCACGCATGGACTCGTCGGAGCCGGCGGGCTTGCCGGGGACGTTGCTGAGGTCGCGCGTAGTGGGCGAGCCGCGCAGAGCCAGCTCGAGCTTCTCGCGCAGCTCGACGTTCTCCGAGTCGAGGCGGTTGCGGGCGTCCAGGTGGTAGGCAGCCTGGGCCATGACTTCCTCGAGGCGGCGCTCGGTGCGCTGCAGCTTGCGGCCGAGCTGCGTCAGCTCGAGGTCGCGGGACCGCACGGTGTCCTGCAGCTGGGTGGCCTTTTGCTCATGGCGGGCGGCTGTGGCCTTGTAGTCGGCCACGGCAGTGCGCAGGGACTCGGCGTGGATTTCGGCCTCGCGCTTGGCCTGCTCGACGGCATCACGCGTCTTGGTCGACTGGTCGGCCGACTCGCGCGCGCGCTCCAGCTCGCTGGCGCGCTCATCGCTCTCACGCTGCAGCCGCTCGTGCAGAATCGCCTGCTCGTCGAGCTTGCCGCCCAGCTCGGCGATTTCGGCCAGCAGTTGCTGGCGCGCCTGCTCGCTCTCCTGGTCCTTCTGCGCCAGCTCCTTCTGGATCGACTCCTGGAACTCCTGGTGCTGCTGCTCCCAGCGCTGCTTGACCTCAATGGCCGACGCGCTGGCCACGGCCTCGGCCTGCAGCTTCTCGCGCAGCTCCTCGACGGTCTTCTCCAGACCCGACTTGTCATCGCTCAGCTCGGCAATGCGCTGGCTGCGCTCCTGCTGATCCTTGTCGAGCTGGTCGAAGCGCTGCTTGAACTCGGCGTTGGCGTCCTCGAGCTCCAGCGCGTGGGAACGCTCGCGCTCGGCCTCGAGCCGGGAGTCCTCGAGCTCGTGGGTCAGGCGCGTGCGTGCGCGCTCCAGCTCATTGGCGCGCTCCTCGAGCTCAGCGTAGCCGCTGCGCAGGTCGCCCAGTTCGGATTCGGCCTGCTGGCATTTCTCGGTGAGCTGGCGGTTCCGCACGTCGGCCTCCTGGTGGAACCGCTCCTTCAGCTCGGCGTGCTCCTGCGACTGCGTGGTGATGCGCTGCTGGAAATCGTCCTGCACCAGAGCGGCCTCCTCCAGCCTTGCCTGCAGCTCCTTGATGGTCTGCTGGGCGCTGGCCAGCTCGCCTGCGGTTTGCTTGTGCTGCTGCTCACTGCTAGTATGCAATTCGGCCATTTGCGTCTTCAGCAAAGCGCGCTCGTCATCGGCGGCCTTGAGCTGCGTGGTTAGGTCGGCGAGGCGGGATTCGGCGGCGTCCTTGGTCTGGCGGGTGCTGGCAAAGGCAGTCTCAGTCTCGTGGTGCTTGGCGGTGGCCACGGCTAGCTGCTCCTCGAGCGCCATGTTGGCGGACTCGAGCTCCTCGAGCTTGGCTGCGTGCTCGTGCAGCTGCTGCTCGGTCTCCTTGGCGTTGAACTCGAGTCCATTGCGCTCCTGCACGGCCTGGTCGCGCTCGCGCCTGGCGACTTCCAGCTCCCCCTGCATGGTCTCCTCGGCCTCAATGTGGGCCTTGCGGAAGTCATCCAGCTCGCCGGATACCTCGGCTAGCTCGCTGCGCAGCTGTGTGAGCTCGTCCTCGCGCAACCGCCTCAGCTCGCTCTCGCGCGTGCCCTGATCAGCCTTCTCGTCAATCAGCTGCCGCAGCTCGGCAATCTCGGCCATCAAGCGCTTATTAGCCTCGGCCAGCTTCTGCTTATCGGCGGAGACATTGGCCAGCGACTGCTCCGACGCCTGCATTTTGATGGCCAGGCTGCTGCGCTCCTGGTCAATCTGCGCAATCTGCGCGCGCAGCTCGCTGACCTGCTGCTGGCTCTGCTCGAGATCGCGCTGGCTCTGGTCGCGCTGCCTGTGGGCGTCATCCAGAAGCGCCGTGGTCTTCTCCAGCGACTGCTGGGCTTGCATCGAGTCGTTGTTGAGCGCCAGCTCGCGCGTCGCCTGGGCGTCCAGGGCTGCATCGCGCTCAGCCAGCGCCTGCAGGGACTCGGCGAGCTCAGCAGCCTGGCCTTCCTGCCTGGCATTGGCTTCGGCCAGCGCATCCTCGAGCAGCTCGATGCGCTGCTGCGCCTGGCTGCTCTCCTGGTCAAGCAGCTGGGCGCGGGCGCTCAGATCGCGCACAGTGCCGACCTCCTCCTGCATCTTCAGCTCGGCAGTCCTGAGCCGGTCGTCGAGCTCCGACCTGGCCTGCTCCAGCTGCTGGCACTGGTGCTCGAACTCAAGCTTTTGGCGGCCCAGCTCCTCGGCCTGCTCCTCGAGCTCCTCGAGCCTGGCTGCGTGCTCCCTGAGGCTGTCCTCGAGCGCCACCTCGCGCTCCTGCGTGCGCTTCAGAATCTCCTCCTGGTCCAAGGCGGCGCTGCGCTCGGCCACCAGCAGCGACTCGATCTCGGCGTGGGTGCGCTCGAGCTCCGCGTGCTCCTGGACGAGCCGCGTCTGCTCTGACTGGGCCTCGGAGCAGGTGCGCTGCAGGTCGGCGATGCGGGCGTCCTTTTTGCGCAGCTCCTCGTCGATGCGCGTCACGTGCAGCAGCGGCTTGACCGTCCGGTAGAGCTTCCACCACGGCCACTCGCACAGCTGGTTGTAGACGCGCGCGTTGCGCTGGATCACGCGAATGGCCTTGGCCTGCTCGATGCGCCTGCGGAACCTCTGCCTGGCCAGGGCGCCGCGGGCGCAGGCCTGGAACTGCGCCAGAATGCTGGCCAGCTTCTGGTCCCTGACTTCCTCGAGCTCGGCAAGCACGCCGGCGCGGAAGAACACCTTGGTGTGGCCCAGGCGGTACTTGGCCGGGTCCATTTTCAGCGCGCCAAGCAGGAGCCCGGCGGCCTGCTTGCTGTCGACGAACACCTGGCGGGGGATGGTGTTGGGGGCCAGGATCTCGTAGCGCTGGCGGAACTCTGGGAAGGCGACGCGGTTCGGGAAGCCCTGGCGGGTAATCCGAATGCCCTCCAGGACGCCGTTGCAGCGCAGCTGGTCCAGAACCAAGGGCGTGTCCACCAGGCCGGCCTTCTTCTCGCTGTTGGGCAGAATGCAGCGCACAAAGTGCGGCTGCGTGGCCTGTAGCTGCGCCATCAGCAAGTTCAGCTGGTCCTTGTGCCGCTGGCCCACGGTCCGGAACGCCCCGCGCTTCAGACTGGTGGCCACGCGCGACCTGACCTCGTGCTGCATGTCAGCGCCGCCGTCTGCGTAGTCGGCGTACAGCTGCGCTACATATGGCTCCGACGAGTTGGCCAGCAGCTTGGTCACGTTCTCGTTGAGCGGATCCTTGTTCTTCTCCAGCCAGCCCACGGTGGAGTACTCGACAGTCGACGCATAGTGCTTGATGCTGAAGCCCATGGCAAACCTAGGCACTTCGTACTTGTCCGACTTGCCGCTCCACAGGGCGTGCAGCTTCTCCGTGAATGTCTTGTCGGTGGCCTTGGGCATCACGCACTCCTCGTCCAGACATGACATGATGCCGATGGGCTTGGCGCGGTCAATCAGGTCGATGGTGGGCTGCAGGTCCATGCCAAAGTCGATGAAATTCCACTCGATGCCCTCGCGCCGGTACTCCTCCTGCTCCAGAACAAACATGGTGCGGTTAAAGAACTGCTGCAGCCGCTCGTTCGTATAGTTGATGCACAGCTGCTCGTACGAGTTGGTCTCGAGGATCTCGAACCCAGCGATATCCAGCACTCCAATGTATGTGGTTTTGCCGTCGGGTCGGCACAGGGCAGCGTTGATCCGCGACACAATGCTGCCAAACAGCCGCTCGTACAAGGACCGCGCCAATGCCTCCACCGAGAACTCCACCTGCTCCTGGCTGCGCGACTGCGTGACCCAGTCGCGGCCCGCCTTGATGCTGGGCCGCAGCAGCGCGCGCGTCAGCTCGCCCAGCGGAATGCCCAAGACGTGGCATAGCTTCTCGGCTGCCACCTGCTCGCGCAGCACGGCCTCGCCGCTGCGCGTGGCCTGGAACTGCATATTGCCCAGATGCAAAATCGCCGCAATGACGCGGAACAGGTCGAGCTGGTTGTCTGGCGCAAACCCCGTGATCGCCAACGCCCTGGTGAGCTCGTCGAACTCGGCGCGATCGTCAACGCCCTGGATCGTGGCCTTGCAGTTGCGCGTGAACGCATAGCCGCCCGGCCCCTGGTCAATCAGCAGCCTGTCCTTGGTAGCCTGCGGGGCGCCCTTCATGAACTGGTAGAAGATGTGGTAGTTGCGCTCGAGCCTCGACTGGTGCGTGACGCGCGGCTTCTCCAGCAGATACCATTCGATGTTGGCGCCGGCGATCTGCCCGGCGGCATTGAACTCGATGCGGATGAACTTGCCGAACCGCGACGAGTTGTTATTGCGGATCGTCTGTGCATTGCCAAACGACTCCAGGATCGGGTTGGCACTGAGCACCTGCTGCTCCAGCCCACTGGACACATTCCCGGTGCTTTTGTCGCCGGCGATGGCCGTCAGATACTGGATCACCTTCTTGGTGTTTTCGGTCTTGCCCGCGCCCGACTCGCCGGTGATCAGAATCGACTGGTTCTCCTTGGTATGCAGCATGTCGTGGAAGGCTGCGTCGGCGATGGCGAAAATATGCGGCATCATCTCCGTGCGCTTCTTGTTGCGGTACGCCATGACGAACTCGTGCCCGTATATCTGCAGGTCGTAGTACGGGTTGACTGCAACCAGGAACAGCCCGCTGTACGTGTAGATTGCCTGCGCCGCGTACCGCTGCTTCAGATTATGCACCACGCTGGCCTCGTTCAGGTAGCCGAGGTCTGCCATGTCCTCGACCTTCTCGAACTTTGGCGGATTCACCTTCTCCGTCACGTTTATGCTGACGACCACGTCCTGGCCCGTCATCAAATGCACATGCACCTTGTCGCCCGCCATTTCCTCGGTTATGTACCCGGCTATGTAGCCTTCTTTGGCGTCCGGCACCCACACCCATTTCTTGTCGCTAAAGTTCACGTTGGCTTGCTGGAACAGGTCCGGCGCCGCTGTGGTCTTGCTGTTTACCGTGCCCACATGCGGGCTCTCGGGCCGGTCCAGCCCCTGTTGGATGGCGCGCCGGATACTGGCCACTGTCGGCCCTTGTCTGTTGCCGCGCAGCATGGATAGAAAAATGTGTAATATAAAATAACAAAAAAAGGACTATGTAAAGGTTTGGACAAGCAAGGGCCGGGGGAGTGTTTGGAAAGGTGTGCTGTTGTTTTCTTTAAAACGTTGAACGGGAAGGGAAAAAAAAAAAAAGTAAGCTGCTCTTGAGAGGGGTAGAGTGCAATACAGGATGTGCACTATTGTCTTTACAGTTCCCGGTTCCTGGCGATTGGCCGTGGGATGCAGGCGCAGAAAAACAGAAAGCGCTACAGCTTGGTGTCAACGAGGCTGTCTGTGCAACACCCCAAAAACCCTCTTCCACCTGCTCCTGAACAGGACGTGCTACCGATAGGAGGCCTCTAGCTTTCGTCATCCGACACATCCTCCACCACCGTCTTGTGCGCCTGTGCCTTTCCACTGCCCAGTGTCTTTTCGCTGCTCTGTGCCTGGCTGGCCTGTGTCGTGCTGCTGCGTGACAGCCATACCACCGGACTGCGCTTAAAGTACGGCCACGGGAACAGCGCAACAAAGTACGTCACCAGCACGCCAAACACATACGCAGCGAAGCTGTAGCTCAGCCGCTGCATCACAAACCCAATGATGAACGCCACCACCCCAGAGCTCACCAGCAGCGCATTCGACAGCTTGGTTGCCAGCTGCTGCCCGCTAAAGTCTATGCGCCCGCTCTCCAGAACCGGCTTCAGAAAGTCCATGCCGTACAAAGGTGTGAAAATGCGTGAATTGAGAAAAAAAAGTGAGAAGAGCCAAAAACCTTACTCCTGTGGCTGGCCTGGATTTCAAACCACATTTCTGAGCCCTGCTAGCTGTGGGATGCGGTGATTGGTCAGTTATTTAATGATTAATGAGCATCCATTTGTCTCCTTCAGGCAGCCCCGTTAACCAGCGGCTGGCCCAGCCCGTCAAACAGCTCAAAGATGGACTCGGACGGCTTCTGGAAGTTGTTCTCGACAATGTTGACCAGGAACCACTCGTCGCCGAGCTTCTTCAGCAGCCCAGCCGCCTCGCTGTCCTTCTCGTACATGCGCGACCATGCGTTCCAAAAGTCAAACGCCTCGTCCTTCCACGCCAGGAAGCTGACGCGCTCGACAATGGTCGGCTGCAGGATCTCCTTGCCCGGGAACACGCCCCAGGTGACGGCGTTCGGGCCGTCCTCGCGGCAGTTGGTGCGCAGCTCGCCGGCCTTGTTGACCGCATAGTACGTGACCGTCGGCTGGCTATCGAGCCGCTGCAGGAGCTGCGTGAGGTTCTCGGGCGACACGAAGAACTCTAGATACGCCTTCTTGTAGACGAAGCCATTGGTGGGTCCCCAGCCGTGGATCTTGTCGCTGGACGGCGCGCCATTGCAGCTGGGCTGACTGTTGATGGTCAGGAAGCCCTTTGCGTTCATGTCGGCCAGGCGCTGCTGGATGATCTCGGTCTCGGGCTGCAGCGCCCCCTCGCTCCACGGCAGCGCATCGAGCTTGCCCAGGCAGTACTTCACAAACAGCTGCTTTACCGCGTCGACGTCCATGGGCGTGCCCCACTTGCGCAGCGCCTGCTGCGGGTTGAGTCTGACCTGCACGCCATGGAGCAGCTCACCGTAGGCAGGCGAGCGGGCGTCGCCCCAGCGGCCATTGGGGAACTCGTCCCAGGACTCGGTGCGCTGGATGTAGCTGCGCGCGTGGTTGCGCCAGAAGATCGGCCGCACGTTCTCGCCCGCGCGCTTCTGCGACAGCGACGGGTTCCACGGCAGCGGCCGAACCTCCTCGACGGTCGGCACCAGGTCCAGGCGCTCCAGCGTCAGCCGCGTCGACCGCTCCAGGTTGATCGTGTAGAAGTGGAAGCCGCGGACCCCGGCCTTGCGCATCTTGCTGATCATCTCGGCCGCCACCTCAATGCCGTAGTCCTTGATCGCCTGGTCGTCGTCCTTGATTGGCTCCAGCCGGTCCCAGATCTCCTGCGGCACCTTGATCCGACACAGCTCCGTCATGCGCTTGAACCCGCTATAGTTCTGGATCGGCATGATCCCAGGCAAAATCGGCATCGTAATGCCCGCCGCCCGGCACTTGTCCACCCAGTGCAGGAAATTATCCACATCGTAGAATAGCTGAGTCACCACTATGTCGGCACCGGCATCCTGCTTCTCCTTCAGATACGCGATGTCCTTGTCGACGTCCTCCGGGCACATGCAGCCCTCCGGGTAGCCGGCCACCGAAATGCAGAAATACTCGCCGTACGTCTGCCGGATGTACCGCACCAGATCGGTTGCATACTTGAACTCGCCCATCTCGGGGTCAAACTCCACAGAGTTGTCGGGCAGGTCGCCGCGCAGCGCCAGGATGTTCTGCACCCCTTGGTCCTTGGCCTTCGCCAGGGCCTCCTTGATCAGCCCAAAGTTCGTGTTTGTGCACGTCATGTGCATGTTCGCCTCGACGCCATACACCGTCTGCGAGTTCGAGCACAGCTCCAGAGTCAGGTCCGAGGACTTGCCGCCCCACCGCCATGTAATGTCCACAAACAATGGGCCCAGGTTGCACATGCGCTCTATGCGGTCATACAGGTTTACCACACCCTGCTGCGTCTTGGGCGGAAAGAACTCGAACGACCAGAAACACCGGTCGTCCTCGAGCGCCTTGTTGATTTTGTCCACAATCTTCATTTTGGCTTACAAAAGAGCTGCTCCTGAAAGAGAGAAAAAGGGTATATCAAAGGGGGAGCTTGACGGAGAATGAAAATAAAGATGACTGACTGGATACACTGAGCACTAATGCACACCAACTGTAAAAAAGAAGAAGAAGAAAGTTACCTCTACAAAGTAAGAAGAGAAAAAAGAGTGCTAAGAGACTGGAAGGAAGAAGAAGTCCCGGATAGCTGATCCAGCCGAAAACAAAAGGCAAACGTGGAGGCTGTGGGTGCAAGCATAGTCCAAAGCTATTCAGCGAGAAAAATTTTAGCCCTATTATTTGGGGCGAGCCTTTGTTCGGTCCTGGTATCATCTGTGAGCATCTGTGAGCAAAGCCAATAGGAAAAAGTGGATGGCAGGTCAATCATCAATGGGTTTATGGCGGCTGGCTGCAAATCGCTCCTTGCGTTTTATTTTTGCCTTTTGCAGACAACAAGAGTCATGAATTTGAAGGCCGCCGAAATTGTCCGCCCTAATACCGAGCAGTGCATGTGTGAGCATTCTCCCGCTGCCCACACAGAAAACAATGCGCGACACAGATATGCAATAGTGCATGTCTGAGCATAGTGCGCTTATCACCAGGCGCCGGCCTCTGTCGGGGACTCTCCTCCCTGAAATCGCAAAGCGAATATTGTCTGCAATCCCAAAACGCCTGCGTATCAGAACCCCACACGGCCCACATGCTCCCAACCAGGGGTGCAGCGGAGACAAAAGAGCCCATCGTAAAACCTCAATCCACACTCTATTTTCTTGCACCCTCATGGAATCCTCGATCCGCGCGCAGCTAAGCGCAATAGTGGCGAGCAGCAAGCACGGGTCCGTGAAAGAGCAGCATCTGCAGGCCGCAGCCCAGCAGCTACGCAATACGCACCTGGCACTGGCGCTCCACCGCACGCCGCCAGCAGCCCTGGCCTCGGCGGTACTAGTGACATGCAAAGTACGCACAGACCCGGCGCAGCTCGAAATAACCATCCACAACCACACTTTCGGCCACGGGTGGTCGGCCACGGCTCAGTTTCTGCCGCAGGCCGCCGGCATGCGCGCAACTACCAGCACTGCCCAGCCCGATTTGCCCGAGTCCTCAACCTTCACTTTTGCCATGCACGGCGTAGATCTGCTGGGCGAGTACGCGGTCGAACTGGTGCTTGTGTTCGATCCGCCATATGCGCTGCCAAAGTTTGCTGCTCGGCCGGTGGTGGCGATGACGCAGACGCTTTATATTGACGCCCTGGACAGCATTTGCCCGGCGCCAGGGGGCGATACCGGAGAGTTTTCGTGTGTAGGCGAAATCTGGCTGACGATGCAGAATACGGATGCGGACCGGCTGCTGCTGGCACTGCTGGCCGGCAATGCGTCCAGGCAGCTGGAGTGCGTGGTTGCGCGGGGCATGGCGGAGTTTGTGCTGCCCATTGACCGACCCAGGCCGGTGACGCTGGTGTGCATGTGGGAGCACGACCACATGTGCGTGCGGATCCGAAGCGCCTGCAAGATTGCCTACGCAGCCACCATAGGCACCATTGCCCGGCGGCTCATGGCGCTGGGTAGCAGCTCCGACGGCCTGCAGATGCTGGCCGACAAGTACTCGGGCGTAAGCTCAGAGCCTGAGGGCTCGGCTCGCGAACTTCGTGGACTTTGCCATGGCCCCCGGCGATGCAATCATCAGGTCTATTGAGTAGATTCCAAAACTTCTAGGGCGCGTGCCAGCCGGTGCTCAGTGCTGGCGACTGGCAGATACGCCATTAGATCGGCGAGCGCCTGGTCCGGTGGGCTGGCCGGTCAGCGCGTACCGCAGCATCATGTTGGGGTGCTTGGCAGGCACATCCAGCTCCTTGCTCAGGGACTTGGGGAGCCCGTGCCAGGCCGCCGGCATCGGCAGCATTGAAGCCGGGCTGGGCAGCCATCGCAGAGACCTGCGCCAGCGCCTGCCTCAGCACCCGCAGCTGGCTCTCTCCGCGGCACCTTCAGCGCAAACGCCTGGGCCTGCTCCGACTCCAGGTCCGGATCACCAAATAGATACGGAGCGGTCGTGTGCAGGTCGCCAGCGCGCGCCAGCCGGTCGCCGCACAGCCTGAGCGCCCCAACTACGGCCTCGCTGGTCAGCCCCTCCCGA